GGATCTATTGAAGTCTCATGGCATCAGGTCAAAAAGGGGCAAGGAAACCTCTTGCTAATTGCTATGTACCACCCCTCTCAGATGCTGAATCAATGCTCCTCCATGTTGAACAGCACTTGGAGGATGTACTGACAGTGGCAAGGTCACGGAATGTACTCTGGATGGGGGTCTTCAAAGCTGACCACCAAGACGAGCTTGGGAGCAGCACTACTGATCGACCTGGTCAAATCCTAAAGGTCATAGCTGTTAGACTGGGTCTGTAGCAGGTGGTGAGGTCCGTAACAGTATCATGAAGAATGATGATTGCACAGGTCTTGTGCAAACAAATCCTAATTTTTACATTGAGAATAGCCCCCAGTCTTGACTTTCTTGGGCATTATCACTATGCTAAATGGGTTAGATTTCAAACATATCTAGAAAATTAAGACTGGATATCTATGAGGCTTTGGGAGTACAGTTTTGTGCCTGCTGTCCCACAAACAATTTGCAAACTCATGCTACAGCATATCCCCTGCTCAACCATTACCATTAAGCCAGAAGATCATCACTGGTTCAATGAAGAGTGCAGGAAGGCATGTCCTAAAAATGAGGTGTCAACCTTGTGAAGATACAAAACAGGATTACTTGCGTGCCAAACAGTGTAAGGAATGAGTGATGGAGCTAAACAATTTCACCACCAATGCATCAGATCAAAGCTCCGCAGTCCTGCACCTTCAGTCATGAATGGTGATGGACAAACAGCTCATTGGAGGAGAAGGTTACACAAATATCCCTATCCTCAACTATAGGGGGCACCCAGTACATAAGTGCAAAAGACAAGGTTGAAGTATTTGCAGCAATCTTCAGCCAGAAGTGCCAAGTGGATGATCCATCTCAGCTACCTCTAGTAGTCCCCAGTTTCAAAGATACCAGTCTTAAGCCAGTTCGATTCACACCATGTGATATCAAGAAACAGGAGACACTGGATGCTACAAAAGCTATGAGGACTGAAAACATTCCTGCAAAAGCACTGAAGATTTGTTGCCCAGGATTTGCTGTGCTCGTAGCCAAACTGTCCCACTACAGCTACAACACTGGCATCTACCTGACAATGTTAAAAATTGATCAGGTATATCCTGTAGATGTAAATGAGGTCGAATTCAACCTATTCAATTATTGCCCATCAGTCTACTGTCAAGTAATGTGATGGAAGGTGTGATACAGTACTATTAGGCAGCACTTGCTCAGCATTAACCTGCATATTGAAGCTCAGTTTGGGTTCTGCGAGGGCCATTCAGCCCCAACCTCATTTTAGCCTTACTTCAAATATTAAAAAAAGGAGCTGAATTGCAGAGGTGAGGTGTGACTGACAGCCCTTGATGTCAAGGTCGCATTTCACTGAGTGGTGCATCAAGGAGCCCGAGCAAAAATGGAGTCAATAGGAATTGGGAAAAACTCTTCGCTAGTTGGAATCATTCTTGGAGTCAGCTCTGGACACTTCTACAGGAGCTCCTCAGTGCAGGTGTACCTTGGTCCATTCATTTTCCGCTGCTACATCAACGACCTTGTCTTCATCATAAGGTCAAAAGTGCGGCTGTTGGCAGATGACTACATTTCACTGAAATGCCCTCACCCCCATCAAAATCCTGGGAGTTACCACTGACTAGAAAGTCAACTGGACTAGTGATATAAATACTGTGGCTACAAGAGTAGGTCAGAGGCAAGGAAGCTTGTAGCGAGTAACTCACCTCCTGACTCCCCAGAACCTGTCCAACTACAAGGTAAAAGTCAGGAGTGTGAATGGGATATTCTTGCCTGGATGAGTGCAGCTCCAACAACACCATCCTGGACAAAGCAGCCGCTTATTCACACCACATCCAAAAATATTCACTCAGTCCTCCACCGGTCGTTCAATAGCAACAGTGTATATCACTTGAAGATGCACCGCAGAAATTCACCAAGGCTCCTTACACAAGACCTTTCAAACACACAGCTGCTGCCATCTATTAGGACAAGGGCAGCAGACACATGGGAATGCCAATAGCTGCATATATTCTCCTGCAAGCCATTCTCCAATCATAGTTAGAAATATTTCATGGTTCCTTCAGTGTTGCTGGGTCAAAATCCTGGAACTCCCTCCCTAAGGGCTTTGTGGTTTACCTACAGTAAATAGATGACAGAGGTTCGAGGAGGCAGCTCAGCACCACCTTTTTGAAGGGTAAACAGGGATGGTTGATCAATGCTGGCCTAGCCAATGACACCCACATCCATGAATGAACAAAAAATGCTGCCTTCAATTCATGATGGTTCTGCAGAGGAGATTAACAATGATATTGTCCAGAGGCTGGAGCATTTTATCTGCAAAGACAGGCTCCAAAGTTGGGGTCGTTTTCTGTGGAGCAGTGAAGGCTAAGCGGGGGACCTGATTGAGTTCTACAAAATGATGAGGAATATAAATATGGTCAATGGGTGTAAACTATTCCCCTTAGTAGAGGAGTCAATTACTAAGGGGCAGGAGGTTTAGAAAGGGTGGTATAGGTGAGAACCATTGAAATGATTCAGAATTATTTAGTTGATTACTTGAAATGCCACAGAATACAAGGCTTTGAATAAAGTGTTGTGAAACGGGTTTCGAGCAGATCAGTGCTTGATTACTGTCTTCTGCTCAATGAGCTGAAGGGCCTCTTTCCGTGCTGTAATAGTCTACGGCTCATATATATGTACTTCATAAATAAGGACACTAAAACAGTACTTTGATCTCTGACCAGTCTTGTAAGCACCAAGTACAAAAAAAAAGTTGCTGGAAAAGCTCAGCAGGTCTGGTAGCATCTGTGGAGGAGAAAACAGAGTTAACGTTTCTGGTCCAGTGACCCTTCCTCAGAACTGATGGTGGCTGGGAAAACGTCAGTTTATATACAGAAAATAGGGAGGTGAGTGGGGTAGGCAATAAACGATAGGATACAGCCCGAAGAGAGAGAAAGACAGTTGGACAGACAAAGTACCTACACTGGCCCTAAACCCCACCTCTTCCTCCGTTACATTGATAACTGTATCAGCGCCGCCTCGTGCTGCCACGAGGAGCTCAAACAGTTCATCCACTTCACCAACACCTTCCACCCCAACCTTAAGTTTACCTGGACCATCTCTAATACTTCTCTCTCCTTCCTGGACCTCTCTGTCTCAATCTCGGGCAACCACCTAGAAACCGATATTCATTTCAAGCCCACCGCCTCCCACAGCTACCTAGAATACTCCTCCTCCGACCCACCTTCCTGCAAAAATGCCATCCCCTATTCCCAATTCCTTCGCCTCCGCCGCATCTGCTCCCAGGATGAGGCATTCCACTCCTGTACATCTCAGTTGTCCTCGTTTTTCAAGGACCGTAACTTCCCCCCCTCAGTGGTCGAGAACGCCCTCAACCGTGTCTCCCACATTTCCCGCAACTCATCCCTCACACCCCGTCCACGCAATAAGAACCAAAAAAGAATCCCCCTCGTCCTCACGTACCACCCCACCAACCTCCGGATCCAACGCATCATCCTCCGACACTTCCGCCATCTGCAATCCGACCCCACCACCAAAGACATCTTTCCCTCCCCACCCTTATCTGCTTTCCGGAGGGACAACTCTCTCCGTGACTCCCTTGTCCGCTCCAGCTCCACCACATCCGGCACTTTTCCCTGCAACCGCAGGAAGTGCTACACCTGCCCCCATACCTCCTCCCTTACCCCCATCCCAGGCCCCAAGAAGACTTTCCACATCAAGCAGATGTTCACCTGCACATCTGCCAATGTGGTATACTGCATCCACTGTACCCGGTGTGGCTTCCTCTACATCGGGGAAACCAAGCGGAGGCTCGGGGACCGCTTTGCAGAACACCTACGCTCGGTTCGCAATAAACAACTGCACCTCCCAGTCGCGAACCATTTCAACTCCCCCTCCCATTCCTCAGACGACATGTCCATCCTGGGCCTCCTGCAGTGCCACAACGATGCCACCCGAAGGTTGCAGGAACAGCAACTCATATTCCGCTTGGGAATGCTGCAGCCCAATGGTATCAATGTGGATTTCACAAGCTTCAAAATCTCCCCTCCCCCTACCACATCCCAAAACCATTCCAGCTCGTCCCCGCCTTCCTAACCTGTTCTTCCTCCCACCTATCCCCTCCTCCCACCTCAAGCCCCACCCCCATCTCCTACCTACTAACCTCATCCCGCCCACTTGACCTGTCCGTCTTCCCTGGACTGACCTATCCCCTTCCTAACTCCCCACCTACACTCACCTTTACTGGCTCCATCCCCGCCTCTTTGACCTGACTGTTTGCTCTCCACCTATCTTCTCCTCTATCCAAGACAACAAGGTGCAGGGCTGGATGAACACAGCAGGCCAAGCAGCATCATAGGAGCAGAGAGGCTGACGTTTCAGGCCTGGACCCTTCATCTCTTCTCCTCTATCCATCTTCTATCTGCCTCCCCCATCCCCATTTCTGATGAAGGGTCTAGGCCCGAAACGTCCGCCTTTCTGCTCCTATGATGCTGCTTGGCCTGCTGTGTTCATCCAGCCCTGCACCTTGTTGTCTCGGATTCTCCAGCATCTGTAGTTCCTACTATCTCTGGACAGACAAAGGGGTTGCTAATGATCAGGCTGGGAGGGTGAATGGTTGTTAATGGGGCCTGTTAGTGACTAACAACAGTAACAACTATGTTACCACATAGCCTGCCACTACACACCCCCTGTTGTTAGTCACTAACGGTCCCCATTAACAACTATTCACCCTCCCAGCCTGATCGTTAGCAACTCCTTTGTCTGTGCAACTGTCTTTCTCTCTCTTCGGGCTGTATCCTATCGTTTACTCCCTACCCCACCCACCTCCCTATTTTCTGTACATAAACTGACGTTTTCCCAGCCGCCATCAGTTCTGAGGAAGGGTCACCGGACCCAAAACGTTAACTCTAATTTCTCCTCTACAAATGCTGCCAGACCTGCTGAGCTTTTCCAGCAACTTTGTTCTTGTTCCGGATATACAGCATCCGCAGTTCTTTTGGTTTTTATTAAGCACCAAGTACAGTTGGATTAAGATTTTATCTCCCTTTGAAAAAATGGTTAAGATTCCATTTGCTTTCCTAATTAATTACAGTATCCGGTAGTGATCACTCATTGGCCACCTGGGCCTTAATCCTAACGATACCTGACAGTACGAAACCGATCTGAGCAGTGAGTGAGAGATAGTAGGAACTGCAGATGCTGGAGAATCCGAGACAACAAGGTGCGGGGCTGGATGAACACAGCAGGCCAAGCAGCATCAGAGGAGCAGAGAGGCTGACGTTTCGGGCCTAGACCCTTCATCTGCACCTTGAGCAGTGAGTGCGCTGTTTCCGCATCCAATAGGATCGGCGCTGAGGCGGGATTTCCTCCTTGTTCGAGGCTGGTGGTGAATGTGTAGTTTTCAAATGTCGGTGACAGCAATGAGGAGTTTTGTTTCCTTGGGCTGTTTGGTTGGACGTGGCAAAATTGGTTTTATGCGGTTCGGTAAAGTAATGAATCTGCAGAATGCGGTAAGCTCTTTAGCCATGGAAGAGCTGTGCAGTGCATGGAGAGGAGTCACGTCTCTAGTTGTCGGTAGAAGGCGATACTCCGGGAACTGTGGCGCTGCCGAAATCCAGATACAACATTTACAGGGCGACAATTCGGGTAAGGGATTAGCGTCTGCTGTTGCCCGATTTTCTAACAGTTGTGCTGCTAATGAGGGCACGGAATGCGGAGTTTCTACCTACTCTATAATTCTATGTTTCCCTTCTGGAAAGTCAGTATTCTGGTTCGAATATAAACAAGTTTGCATTTAATCTTTAAAATTAAATCTCGTTCTTCCGGCACAGATGTTTCCTGATCTAAATATTTGCAGCATTTATTGTAGGAATTTCAGAATTCCAATGTCAGTACTTATTGTCCTTTTTTTAATTAAATAATTTTGGTGGTGATTGAAGGCCATCTTACCCAGGTGACTGGAGGATGTCACTGGCTTCTTTTCAATAGTGCTGTGGAATTTATGAAGTCCATTTGTACATGTGGGGGATAGATGACCCAAGGTTTAATATTTCATTTGTAAAGTAGCAAGTCTCATAATATAGTGTTCCTCATTACAGCACCGAAGCTTCAGCTTAGGAAAAGGCCCAGACGTTCACTGTTATTATGAATTAACTTGTGGCATTCACTCATGCAAAACTGAAATTGGGATGTTGCTGTGGACTTGCATTGCTTAAAGCTTCGCTACACTACTGTCTTGTGGAGAGATAGGCATTCACTTACAAACAACGGAATAAATTGGCAGTATTTTCCTATTAGTTAAACATTAAGTACACCAGGAAAAGAAAAGTTCTGAAAAAGGATCACCGGACCCGAAACGTTAACTGATTTTTTTTCTTCACAGATGCTGCCAGACCTGCTGAGTTTTTCCAGCAAATTCTGTTTTTGTTCCAAGAAAAAAATACAGGTTGTTCATTAAAACATCAGTATTTTATTAACATTTGTTGATTGTTAATTCAGAAGAGCTGAATATTGTTTAAGTGGAGAAAGACTGCAGAAAGCTGCAGGACAGAGGGATTTGGGGGTTCTGGTGCATGAATCATAAAAACACTACCATCCAAGTTCAGATAGTAATAGAGAAGGCAGATGGAATGTTGGCCTTTAGTTTAGATGTAGATTTATTGTCACATGTATACAAATATATGGTGAAGAGTTTTTTTGTGTGTCCTATGCGCAGAGTCACCACACTCCAGTATCATCTTCAGGCAGCACAATTGCTAGCACTGTTGCCTCACAGATCTAGGGAACCGGGTTCACTTCCACCCTCGGGCAACTGTCTGTGGTGGAGTAGATTTAATGGGCCAAATGGCCGACTTCTATTCTTCCATCATATTTCTGCTCCTTATTGTGGTAAATCAATTTATTACCGAGCATTCTCTCTAACACTGAAAATTAACTTTTATGACATGAAGTTTCATTCCTTCAGAGGTTATTGTTGGAGTTTTAAAATTTATTATTTTTCCTCCTGTCTCTTTTCATATTTTTAATTTTGCTTTCTGTTCGTGATTTTGCACTGGACTTTCACTGCCTGGGTTAGACTATATATTTCTGTGAGGATTCTTGAATCTGGTTGAATAAACATGTTGTTATGTACCTTACTCATTTCAGATTCTAGGTGTCCAATAGAGGGTGCTGCTTTAAATATCCTTGACATTTGGTTGTTGTGTGTTGTTCAAAAGCTCAAAGGCCTGTGGGAAGCAACAAGACGATGAACGGTCAGCGCCATTTGTCCCAGATTTTGCAATGTGCTTAAGCCCATAGCAGACACTGGATGTAGAATTTTCTGTGTTGGAAACAAGATGATTCCTAAAAGAAAAGTTTTGCCTTACAAATTATCTTGTGTACCTTCTTTGCCCTAAAAATAAACATGAAAATGTAACTTAGTTAAAACATAACAGCAATTTTTTTTTTTGCTGCTATCACACCACTTGCATTATGTTTTCAACCTGTAACTGGTGTTATACAGGCATTGGGTAGAGAACATAGCCCCTGCAGTTTAAATCTTAAAATACTCCCTTCTAAATTTCAATGAAGAAATTTAGAAAGCTTTCTTGTTTGAACTCAAATGGTTATTGTTTGCCAAAGCATCATCTAGTGAAACGTTTCTCACTACCTTCATCTATAGAAGATTAAAATGAATTGAGTCCACTATGAATGGTTTACTCACTGGAAGCTGGACAAATGTTTATTTGGGAGTGGTGTATGTGCCGTGCCTCATTGTACTGATTTAGTTCTATAAGAATCAAAAATATTGGTGGATATGTGCTTCTTTTGAAGAACAAATTGAGGAACTTAAGTGTGGAAGCAAAATTAATATTTCCAATCATGAAGTCTTTTTTTAAATTCCTTTTAGGAATTACAGCTGTTTTAATGAACAGACCTCATGCAAGAAATTCCCTTGGAAATGTATTTGTTACACAGGTACATGAAGTTTTATTACTTTTTCTTAAAAACAGTGTATTCCTGGAGTGTCTAACCTACATTACCTGTGGTTTAACTCCAAACATTTAGTCCTTGAAACAAAAATAACTCTGTTCTATTTCCACTTAATTCTTTGATCACCTTTGGATTTTATAAGCTAAACTTTAGGATGAATCTTTTTAGAGCAACTGCCTGTTTGGGGGAAGATCTCCAAATCTGAAAAAGATCTGTTAGTTTTTCTGCAACTGGAGACATATGTAAAATATATAGAACATGTACTTGCATTGATGTAAAGCTAACACAATCATAATCAGTGTAGATTTTAATGGGAGGGATGGAGAAATGGTAATTAATCACTGTTTTCAAAGAGGGTGATAGCAAGTCCCAGGAACACGAAAGAACTGTGGATGCTGTAAATCAGAAACAAAAACAGAATTTGCTGGAAAAGCTCAGCAGGCTTGGCAGCATCTGTGAAGAGAAATCAGAGTTAACGTTTTGGGTCTGGTGACCCGAAAACATTAAATCTGATTTCTTTTCACATGCTGCCAGGCCTGCTGAGCTTTTCCAGCAAATTCTGTTTCTGTTGCCCAGGAAAATATAGACCATCATAATTAATGATGTGAGTCACTTGGCGCATAGTCTCCTATTTTGTTGGGCCTTTGGGTGGACTCTATAACCAAAGACCCCAAGCAAAATTCCTGAAAAATCTGGAGCCAAGCATGTTGGCTTCTTTTTAGACAATTTCACTAAATGTACATTTAACTTCTGTCTTAATTTATATTGTTGCCTAATGAATGATTTTCAAGTTTTCTCTTTCTTGTTGCTCACTTTTTCCCTTTTCCTTTGTCTGCTTTGTCTCTTTTAACGCCTGTGCCAATACAATAATCAGTTTTGATCAAGCCTTTTGACATGAGGGTTTACATGGATGGAGTTTGATTTTCCACATTGATGTCAATATTCACAAGAGCTACAATGAAAAACTGGAACTGATTACTTGTTTTTAGCTTGAAGAGGCAGTTGAAGAGTTGTGTCAAGACAAAAGTGTGCGTGTGGTACTCTTTAAGAGTCAGATCAAAGGGGTTTTCTGCGCAGGTAAGAACTCTAGAATCTGAAGGTAGAATTATCCTGTTGCACTGATGGAATGTTCTCCTAACCATATAAGGCTTTGCAGTAATTTGGAAGACTTGAGTTTGGCTCCTCTAACCTTTTATGGTAGAAACTTTAAATTGCAAAATCATGGCTCAGTACTTGATAAGGAGCTACCATACCTAGAATCAAGTGGGTGATAATACGATTATTAAAATACAGTGTAAATATTGCAAATGTTAAATTGAAACATATTAAATGTACTTGGTTATGTGTGATATTTTCATTTCAGGTGTATGAATCATAACATATTATAATATATTCCAAATAGTGTCTTTTTTAATAATAACTAATAATTGCCTAAACAAATTGTGTCTGAAATTTGAACAGAGAGATCTATATCCATCTCAGCCTCTCTCTGAGCTCCCCAGCATCACAGATACCAGGCTTTGGCCAGTCCAATTCATTCCATGTGACAGCAAAAAAAAATCTGACTGTGCTGGATACTATGGGTAGTACTATGATACTAAGGCCATGGGTGCCAATGACATTTTGAAGATTTGTGCTGCAGAACTTGCTGCACGTCTAGTCAAGCTGGTCCAGTGCAGTCATGATGTTGGCATCCACCCATCAAAGTAGAAGTCTGCCATATATGTTCACAAAGCAGGACAAATCCAACCCAGTCAGTGACTGATCCCATCAGTCTACTGTCAGTCATCAATGAAGTGATTGAAGGTGTCACCAATAGGGCTGTCATGTACCAGTTGCTTAGCACTAACTTGCTCACTGACACTGACTTCCTGGCCTCATTACAGCCTTGATCCAAATATGAATAAACAAGCTGAATTCTGGAGGTAAAGTCAAACTGTCATTGACAAATGACAAGGTATTTGACCAAGTGTGGCATCAGGGCCCTTGCAAAACTGGAGTCGTAGGAATCGGGGAAATTCTAGCACTGTTTGGAGTCATATCCAGCATATCTCGCTGGAGTTCCTCAGGATGGTGTCCCAGGGCCAACCGTCTTCAGCTACTTCATTAATGACCTTCCCTCTATCATAAGGGCAGAAGTGGGGATGTTTGCTGTTGATTGCACAATGTTCAGTACCACTCACAAATACTAATGTCCAAATGCAGCAAGATCCAGACTTCTTTGAGGTTGGCTATGAAATTCTTTCCATGTGGGAAATCGTGGCTGTAAAGTTCCATTCTGCACCTTTCTGGAGCAGTGATGTGGAGGTGGCGGTGTTGGACTGGGGTGGACAAGGTCAAAAATCACGCGACACCAGGTTATAGTCCAACAGGCTTATTTGAAACCACAAGCTTTCGGAGCCTCAGTTAGAAGGTTTTAATTGATTGATATGTACATGTAAGTCCCTGAATTTCTTTCAAGTCGCTGCCCTGAGGCAACTAAAGGTTTTATCAGTGTAAAGAAGAGGTGACATTTTAGGTCAGACAGTGCATGTTGGGTGTGAGGCCTTGTATTGTTTGCAGCAAACTACCCAGCCTTCAAGACCACATCGACCACAACAATATACAACCCTGTATGGTAATCTCTGCAAGACGTGTCAGATCTCCGACATGGACACTACCATCACATGTGGGAACACTACCCACCATGTGAACAGCAGATACTCATGTGACTCGGCCAATGTTGCCTGTCTCATACGCTGCAGGTAAGGATGCCCCGAGGCATGGTACATTGGTGAAACCATGCTGACACTACAAGAGTGGATGAATGGACACCACGCAACAATCGCCAGACAGGGGTGTTCCCTACCGGAGGGTGAACATTTCAGTGGTCAAGGACAATTGGCCTTGGATCTCTGGGTAAATGTCCTCCAAGATGGACTTCAGGATACACAACACAGAGTCGCTGAGCAGAGGCTGACAGCCAAGTTCGGGCACCTATGAGAATGGCCTGAACCAGTATCTTGGGTTCATGTCGCACTACAGGTGACCTCACCACATTACACACACACACACGTGCGTATGCACTCGCGTGTCTGCATGCACGCACTCTCACACGCACACTCTCATACAAACACTCGCTGTCTGTGTCTCTCTCTCTCTCACACTCGCGCACACACACTCTCTGTCACACAGAACCTCTCTCATGCAAACACAGTCTCTCTGACTCTCTCTTGCACGCACTCGCATGCGCACACATGCACACTCTCTCTGTCACATAGATCCTCTGTCATACAAACGCGCGCACACACTAATCTATGGGGTGAATTTTGTTCAAAAACTACATGATTTATAGACAGTCAGTCAATGTGGCGTCTTATAAATTCCTACTTTAGAAATAAAACCAGTCTGACTCCAAAGTAAACACAAACAGACTCTAAACAAGGCTTCACACCTAACATGCATTATCTGACCTAAAATGTCACCTCTTCTTTACACTGATAAAACCTTTAGTTTTCTCAGGACAGTGCCTTGAAAGCAGTTCAGGGATTTACATATACATATTAATCAATTAAAACCTATTAACTGATTAAAGATTTAACAGCATCTTAGGTTTGTTTAATACATCCTCATCATTAATGTAAAGCTTTGATCTTTTCCTTATAAATTCTGTGTCTGATACTACCTCTCTCACTAACGCCTGAAGAAGGACTGAGGCTCTGAAAGCTTGTGTTTTCAAATAAACCTGTTGGACTATAATCTGATGTTATGTGATTTCTGACCTTTTTCAGAGCAGTCGGGCAATGGGCTATTTACACTCTAGTTTTGGCAATGTATTGTAGACATTGGCATAGCATTATATAACTGGTTCTGCTGAGTGGTGACATGAGAATCAATAATGATATAAATATGATTTGATTTGAAAAGAATTCCAAATCACAATGACTGAAAATCTGCTAATGCTAAAAATATATTGAATTTTAAAACACTTTATTGAACTGATTTTAAATTATTGGGTTTTTGATCCTGGCTATGTCACTGTCTAAATGATTGTATTCACCATTGCATTGAGTGCACACACAAACATCCTTAAGTTATCAATGACCAGATACTTAGGTAGTCTAGCCATGTTAATACTGTGGCTACAAAAGTAGGTCTGAGACTAGGAATTATGCAGCAAGAAACTTAACTCCTGACTTCCCTAAGCATGTGCCTTAGAGATGGTGGACAAGTCAGGAGTTTGATGGAATATTCGTGCATGTCTAGATTAGTGCAGCTTCAATAATGTGCAAGAAGCTTGATGCCACCATGGCAGCACGGTGGCTCAATGGTTAGCACTGCTGCCTCACAGCGCCAGGGTTTGATTCCACCCTCAGGCAACTGTCACGTTCTCCCTGTGGCTACGTGGGTTTGCTACGTGTGCTCCGGTTTCCTCCCACAGTCAAAAATATGCAAGTTAGGTGGATCAGCCATGCGAAGTTGCCCATAGTGTTCAGGGTGTAAGTGGGTTAGCCACGGGAAGTGCAGGATTACAGGGATAGGGTGTAGGGATAGGTCTAATGGGATACTCTTTGGAGGGGCGGTGTGGACCTGTTGAGCTGAATAGCTTGTTTCCACACTGTAGGGATTCTGTGGAAAGACAAGGCTTGATTTGGTAATGCATCCACAAACGATTACTCCATTTATCATCACAGTAGTAGCAGCAGAGTACGCCATCTACAAGATATACTACAGAAATTCTCCAAGGCTGCTTTGACAGCATCTTCCAAACTCCCCAGCACTACCATTTAGAAAGATGAGGGCAGTATGTACATGGGAATACCATGTGTCTGCAAGATCCTATCCAAACTACTCACTGCCCTGACTTTGAAATGTATTGACCCTCCTTCAGTAGCGCTATGTTAAAATCTTGGAACTCCTCCTGAACAGCATAGTGGGTGTACCTACACCAAATGGATTGTAGCAGCTCAAGGACACAGCTCACCACTACCTTTTCCAGGGCAACAGATATGTATTTTTTTAAACTGTTTACAGTGGACATTACTGTTGCTGAATTTTCTTCTTCGCTTCTTTTCATCCAGTGCCAACATAAAATATCTGTATTTATACTGAAGGAACGCAGCATCAGAGGAGCAGCAAAGTTGACGTTTTAGAAGGGTCCAAACCTGAAACGTCAACTTTCCTGCTCCACTGATGCTGCCTGGCCTATTGTGTTCTCCAGCTCCATATTGTGTTGTCTCTGACTCGAGCATCTACAGTTCTTGCTATCTCTCTCTGTATTTATACTGAAGTTGTTTCTCAAATTATTTCTCCTCCCTTTTTCCCCAATTTGTTTTCTAGGTGCAGACTTGAAGGAACGTGCTCAAATGAGTAATACAGAAGTTGGCCACTTTGTACATAGGTTGCAAAATTTGATGAACAACATAGGCAAGTACAAAGGATAAAGATCCATCTTTATTTTGGAAATAGTGATTTTGAGCATTTTCTTAAAATAAAGCAGCACTTGTCAATAGTCTTTTAATCCAGGTGTATTGGTATAAAATGACTCAATGCTTGAAAGCTAGTGCAGAGTTTCACCAAACCAATTTTTATGAAATGCACTGTTACTAAGTAGCTCAAAAGCAACTCCATTTCAGTGGGAGTCTCCCTGATTTGATATATTATAATTTGAGTATTGCTTAAAGAATGACACTTTTTGTCAAAGCTTTTGGTCTTGCACTCACCGAGACAATTTGCAAAAATACCATTTTAAGGGACACTAAAGTTTATACTGAATGAAAGGAGAGTGCTGACTGGTTGGGCAAGTGGGCTCTGGTAGAGGCATTGCTACGGAGATTTGGTGGCAGCTATTCTCTGGTTTATTCTCAGGCCAATGCCTTTTAACCAATCAATCATTCTCTTAAAATTCATCCTGCCCACTCCTGGCTTCTAGCAAGGCCTGCTCTGCTTGTAGGGTCAGAGTAAGGATTGGCCAATTTCCCATCCTCTCAAAAACAGCAAGCTGATTTAGCATCTGCAATTTCTTCATTCCCTGTGATCCTTTTTTTTTTTAATTTCTGCATCTACGGGATTAGGGTTTACTTTCCCTACTTTGTGTTTATGAGCTGTAAAAGCCTTTACAATCTGCTTCAATGTTTTCCTTTCTTTTGGTGGCCCTTTGCTGGTTTATGGATACACTTTGCAACATTTTCAGTCTCTTATTTTGTTACCATCCCCAACTTTGGGAAATGGTGGGGTCGTAGTAATGTCACTGACCTATTTATTAATCCAGAGGCTCCAGGTGTCCATGAAACTATCATTTTTGTAAAAACCCATTTAGTTTACTATTGCCCTTTTAAAGGAGGGAATCTGCCATCCATACCTGATCGGACCAACAAGTTACTCTGAACCCACAGAAATGGGGTACTCTTCATGGCCTTCACTTCAAAGATGGGCAATAAATGTTGGTCTTGCTGATGAATCTACATCCTAACAAAGGATTAAAGAAAACAACTTCCTGAGTAATCAACTGATCACTCACATGCTCATCTAATTAATGCCTTTGAACATTAACCTGCTGCTAGAGGCTGCAAAAAAAACAGAAAGGATCACCTCCACTCCTCCTGCACCAAAATCCAAATTGGCACTTGTTTTTCATCACCTCCATTATAGACTGTTTGATCACATGAGAATATTTTATAGTGATGCACAAACCAATGTCATTAAATTTTTTTGGTTATATTTTTCCCCAAGAGAACAATTGTCATGCAAAAACCCATAGAAACTATCAACCTTAAAGGACTCATTTATTAGGTAAATCATTATCCATTATTAGCTAAACAGAGCTGCTAAATCTAGCATCAACTGAACCAACTTTTATCAGCTTGGCTCCATGGGCTTATCCTTTAAAGGTGAATTGATCAGTTTGGTCATGTGATTAATTGTAGCAGTCAAATCACATTAGTAACTTAATAGACAGGCATGTGCTTCTTAGCCAGTGAGATTGCTAGAAACTGTCATTTAATAGCTTAGCTGTTGAGATTTTTTTAATGGCGTGGAGATAATTTCTGAATGCTTTCCAAGTGTTAATGGTGAGTTTTCTTTCAGCATTGCTGCCTATGCCCACCATTGCTGCAATAGATGGATATGCTCTTGGTGGTGGTCTGGAGCTAGCATTGGCATGTGATCTTCGTGTTGCAGGTAGGGTCCCTTTAATAGACTGCTTAACTTCGACTGAGATCTCATAAGTGGAGAATCAAAGTTCCTTTTTTTTTAATTCATTTGTGGAATATGGGTGTCGCTGGCTGGCCAGCATTTATTGCCCATCCCTAGTTGCTTTTGAGAAGATGCTTGTGAGCTATATAATTAAGAATAACTAAATATCTGCTCTACAATTTTGAGATTTGCTGAGCTTGAGCCATTATTTTACTACTTCAACCTACCTAGGTGGAGATTTATTTAAAGTAATTCATGAAACCTTTCACAAAAGTATTGCCATTTCTTTTGTCCCCAGCATTCTCATGATAATGAGGCAAAGGTTGAAAGTAGTCATTAAAACCAACAGAGCTGCGAATGCTGTAAATCAGAAAAACTCTGACTTTTCTTCACAGATGCTGCCAGACCTGCTGAGCTTTTCCGGCAACTTCTGAAAATAGTCATCTTTTACATAGTTCCTATTGTCTACTTGAGTTGCTGGGATTGGAGGGTTTGATTATAAGGAGAAGCTGGATAGTTTGAGGCTTTAGTCCCTGGACCTTTGGAGGCTGAGGGGTGACCTTTATTGTGGTTGGTTGCTTCGCTGAGCTGATTCATTGTTCTGTAGATGTTTCATTATCCTGCTGGGTAACATCAGAGGCTGCACTGATGAAGTGCTGAAGGGTGACCTTTTTATAGAGGTTTATAAAATCACGAGGGGCAAGGATAGTGTGAATAGCCAAGGTCTTTTACCCAGGGTAGGGGAGTCCAGAACTAGAGGGCATAGGTTTAAGGTGAGAGGGGAAAGATTTAAAAGGTACTTGAGGGGCAACATTTTCATGCAGATGGTGGTGCGTGTATGGAACAAGCTGCCAGAGGAGATGGTGGAGATGGGTACAATTACAATATTTTAAAGGCATCTGGATGTGGACAAAAAAAGGAAAGGTTTAGAGAGATATGGGCCAAATGCTGGCAAATGGGACTAGATCAGTTTAGGATATCTGGTGCTGACAGTTTGGACCAAATGGTATGTTTCCATACTGTATAACTTCTATGACTCTAAAGTGCAGAGATTATGTCGATCAAATACAGCTCAATGGATATTTGTGTTCTTGTGTTAGCTATAAACATTTGAATTGTCTCACACAGAAGACTTTGTTAAACTTCAAAGCAATGGGAATTCAAGCTAAATCTCAGATAAGAACAGACCGAAAAGTAGAAGATCATCATTATTCAGTGGGGTCAGAAAATATTGAATGGGTGCTCAGGACTCTGTATTGGAATTAATTTGGTTCTGAATTACATTATTGACATTAATTCAGACTAATTCTAATTTTGTCAAACAATGAAAAAGGCAGAAAAATTGGAGAATGCAATTTAAAAAAACTACAAATTGTGCTGGTTAAAGTATTTAAGCGAACAGAAAAATAGCAGAAGAAATTTAATACAAACAAGTTTGTTTTTATTTTTTCACGGGATGTGGGCATTTATTGCCTATCCCTTCTTGCTCTTGAGAAGAATGTGGTGAGATGCCTTCTTGAACTGCTGCGATCCACTTACTGTAGGTTGACCCACAATGCCATTGGGGAGGGAGTTCCAGGATTTTGACCTAGCAGCACAGAAGGAACAAAGCTATGTTTCCAAGTCTTCTGACTTTGTCCCCCCAGTAAGGGGAATCTGTTCCCCCAGACAACTTGATTTATGTCCCATGGCAGTTTGAGAATTTGAACTAAGTCGACAAAAAATATCTGGTGATGCAAAAGTGGAATCAATAGCCTAATGCTGCCAAATTGCTGATAAAAATCGAACTACAATTTTAGGGAAGGAAAGCTGCTGTACTGCCCTGGTCTGACCTGTGTTCCATGCCATAAACCCACATGGACATGAGCCATCCTTAGAAAAGTGGCTTAGAAAAACACTCAGCTGTATTAGCTAACACAGGGTTAAAGAAAGACCTTTTCAGGGAAATAATGACCAACATTAAATCATAGCCTTTTCATTGATGCTGAAATTCCAAATTTAAGTTAGAAGAGCAGGCCGGATATCCCCATTGTCTGAAAGCAGGACAGCTCATCGTTAACAAATACTTTAGGCACGAACAGGTTGCAGCAAGTTTACATGTCATTTTAATCAGAGGAACATCAATAGTTTTTACCCCATCCGGTGATTAATATACAGCAGCCTGTGGCCACAGAGCAGAAAATAAAGCCTTGGCAGAGTCAGAACACCTTCATCGAGTGATAAGCAGAGGGCAGACTTCAATGGGAGTTGCCATTTCGGTCATTTGGTTGGAAACCAGGAAGAACATCAGAGATTCAAATCTTCTGCTGTTGAGCAATCAAATTATTTTAGTTATGCTGCCAATCATGCAACTGTTTACAGGATGAAGACATTTCTTCATGACAGATTCGCGGATAGACTAATATTCACACATGGCTCTCCTCAAATAAAATAAAGGTTTATGTTAGAATACAGGAAGTAGGAGCAGGAGTAGCTGATTCAGGTTCCACTGTCATTCACTACAATCATGGCTGATCTACCTCCGCTTCACTTCCCTGCATTATCCCTGTATCTCTAAGTATCCAAACATCTAATAATCCTTGTGCTGAATATACTCAGCAACTGAGCTCTGCAGGCCTAGTGAATTCTAATGATTCATAGATCTTTGTGTGCGAGGACATTTCGTTTCTGAGACAGTGACCACTCCCTCTGGATGCACCAACCAGGGAAACTCTCTCTCAGCATCTTATTCTGTCAAGTCCCTTAAAAAACTGATACATTTCCATGGCATCACCTCTCATTCTTCTAAATTCTAGGCAATAGAGGCCCAGTCTACTCAATATCCATTCTGGCTGACATGCCAACTATAAAGCCTGAATGTTTCAGCACAAACTCTTCAAAGGCACAGTTGACTTAGAATAATGGAAAACCCCATGATAATTATCAGTTCTTGTCCTACAACTCCTTGCCTTAACCCCTCCTTAAAATAAACCACAATTGCAAGACCACTGCATTGAGGAAATAGCAAGGCAGGCACTTAGGAAGATGATCAAACGGTCAATTTATCGGGGAGGCAGTGGCGTAGTGCATTATCACTAGGCTACTAATCCAGAGACCCAGGTAATGTTCTGGCAGAATTTTAATTCAATGACAATCTGGAATTAAGATTCTAGTGATGACCATGCATCCATTGCTGATTGTTGGAAAAATCCAATTTGGTTCATTAATGTTCTTTAGGGAAGGAAGCTGGCCTACATGTAACTCCAGGCCACCAGCAAAGTGGTTGACTCTTAACTGCCCTCTGGGAGATTAGGGATGGACAATAAATGCCCACTTCCTGTGAATCAATGACAAGAAATGGAACAGTGGGCTTCTTTATCCAAAGCTCTCTGGTAATCTTGTGATTGCCTGTGAAATACAATTGAGGAATTTTGTTCAAAATAAAATGGAGGGATGTTAGCAAATATTGCGTGTTCTGTTGGCCATGCTAAATTGCCTGTAGTGTTCAGGGATGTGTAGATTTAGGTGGGTTATAGGGTGATGGGGCTGGGTGGGATGCTGTGAAGGTCAGTGTGGACTTTTTGGATCAAAGGGCCTGTTTCCACACTGTAGGAATTCTATGATTCTATGAACAAGTACAGATATGCATAGCAACCTTCGTCTTTGGGTGGCACGGTGGCTCAGTGGTTAGCAAACTGCCTCACAGTGCCAGGGACCAGAGTTCGATTCCACCCTCGGGTGCCAGTCTGTGTGGAGTTTGCACATTCTCCCCGTGTCTGCGTGGGTTTCCTCCCACAGTCCAAAGATGTGCAGGTTAGGTGGATTGGCCATGCTAAATTGCCCATAGTGTTCAGGGACGTGCAGATTAGTTGGGTTATAGGGGGATGGGTCTGGGTGGGATGCTCTGAGGGTCGGTGTGGACTTGTTGGGTCGAAGGCCCTGTTTCCACACTGTAGGGATTCTATGAAACCTATGAAAAGTCAGGATGGTGAGTGGCTTGGAGGGGTACTTGCAGGTGGCGGAATTCCCATATATCTGCTGCCCTTGACCATCTCGATAGAAGCGGTTGCGGGTTTGGAGGCTGCTGTCTAAAGATCTTTGGTGAATTTCTGCAGTACATCTTGTAGATAGTATACGTTGCTGTTACTGATGTCGATGGTTGATATGG